GGGGGGCGCTGCCCACAGGGGCTTTTGCCGGGAAAGGGGTCCTTCCTGACTGAGGGGTGTTAGCCGCCACATGGCTTTTCTCTGGGGCTCCAGGGGCGCTGTTCTCACCAAAACAAAAGAGGCAGGGAGGTTGCAATCCACCCCGCATGGTGCTGTTCCTGCCAGTTTTTCCAGCTCTGGGGGGAAGGGGGGGCTAGGGGGCAGGGATGGGTGTGTGCCTGTGGCTCCTTGAGCTGGGCTGCTGCTGCCATCCTATGGCAGGAATTTGGGTTGCACGCCAGTCTGCGGTTGGCCAAGGAGGCAGCATAAAGCAGGGCAGAACACCTTTTTCCCCTGAGTTGGAAATGGATTTCTTTAAAACTCTGTTAGATCCCCCTCCACTCCCTCCGGTCTCCAGAGCAGGCCAGTCCTTCTAGTATTTAAGGTTACAGCTGAAAAGAACTGAGTAACTGTGAAATGCAAAAGAGGTACCACCGCCTGGGACAATGCTATTGGCAGGAAAATATACCTAGTTTTGAGTTTCGCAGAGTGCTCTCTCCCTCTAAGAAACAGAAACTAGTTCAGACAAATATTTGCTTTCTTTATTTGTCTCATTTCGCTCCATGGACAGATGAGTCACGGGTAAATAAAACACGTTTGAGGCAGCAGCAGACGGAGCTCTGCCTGGCTGCCCTTTGGGGTAATCACCCAGGAACTGGCTGTGGCAACAAAGCCAGTCAGCCTCTCAGGTGCCCATAGAGAGCACATCGTCTGACTCTCTGGGAGAAGAGACTTCACTCTCCCGGCCTTTTCAGCACAGAGCTAGAAATGAAAAGGGTGTTCAGTCTGTGGCCGTCTGGAGTCCTGACCAGGTGCCTTTTCTCCAGTATCTGCTGCCAGAAAGCTGAAATTTTGTGACCACGTATCTGAAAATGAATGAGCATCATTGGTCCACTGGAACATATTTCGGAGTAAACTTTCTGAAACTGCTGCGCATATGCTTGTTCTCCCTAGTGAAAATCTTTGGCTGCTGCAACACTCTGGAACCCCACACTGGGGATTCGTGTGGTGATCCAACAGCTGTATGGTGCATGAGCTTATTTTAGAAAATTTGACATCCTTCCTTTTCTTCCCGTCTACTTGCATCACTCAGGGCGAGTTTGCAACTATTGAAAGCAAAACGGCTCCGTAAAAGAAGGGGAAGGAGCTGCAAAAGAACAAAAACGCAGACAAGCCCAGCTCCAGGGCCTGTCCCCCTTGGCAAGGCAGAAGTCAGCAGCAGCGAGGGAGCAGGAGACCTCGCAGGTGGGGCCTCCCCCCTCCAGTGTTTCTCGACCTTGGCCGCTTTAAGCTGTGTGGACTTCAACTCCCGGCACGCTGGCTGGGGAATTCTGGGAGTTGATGTCCACACAGCTTAAAGCGGCCACGGTCAAGAAACGCCGCTCCGACCTATTTGCAGCTGCAGCGGTCTGGTCTGCGTGGGCCCGGGACTTGTCCTGGACGGAAGAAGAGCTGGAGATTGCCTTCTGGGGCGGGGGTGCAGGGTGCCCTGATCGGCTGCCCTTTGGGCCACACCAGGCACAGGACCTGATGGCTGCTCTTCAACCCAGCTCCTTTTTTGGGGGGGTGGCTGGAAAAATGGGTGCCTGCTGTACTTCCCGGGGACCAGGTGGGCTGCAGCAGTTTGGGCAAAGCTCTTGGCCACTCCTGTGGATTCCCACTGCCTGTCAGATGGATCTGAATCAGTCTGGGATTCCGGAGCCAGGCAGGTTGAACAGGGTTTTTTCTTCTTCTTTTCGGGGAAAGCCGGAGAACTTGACGTTGCATGTGGATGGCTTTTTTCCAGCCTGAGCATCACACAGAGGGCACCCAAAGTGACATTCCCTGTCCGGGGAGTGAAGCATGGGGGGGCTCCTTTGGCACCCAGTTGGCACCTCTCTATGCCGCCCCTACTGAAGTTCACAGCTTCCCACCTCCAGCCTTTGTGGCGAGGCGGGGGCTGTGCTTGCCCGTGGCCCCACAGCACCCTCTTCTCCATCT